AGGAGTATAGATAAACTATATAATAATGTTCGGTATTTCCATATGTTTCATTCTCGATGCATAAATTATAAAATGCAATAATGCAAGGAGATATAATGAACAGTTATCAAACGTAAGAGCTGAAACAATAGAAAGGACGACATGGATTGCCCGATTTTTAAAACATTAATTAGATTATGTGCTATGAAGGAGTAAGCATTGCTGTCTACTGTCACATCCGCCAGGTTTACCTTGTCATGATCGGACAACACAATTCTTTGATAATACATTAAATATATAGACTTTATTACATTTTTACCCGTGAAATACTGTAATTTATTCATTGAATAAAAATGATATCCTGTCACAGTGTGAAAGGATATCAAAACGATATCATGTCACAGTGTGACGAATATCAGAAGTGTGGGAAAACCCTTGATTTCCCTTCCCATAACGAAGATTGTTGCAAAAAAATCTTTTGACCAAATATAAGATAGATGGAAATAAATAAACCATTCTGACAACGAATAAAACTGTCAAAATTACCAGAAATATGTTGCTAAATCCATGTTTACAGTGTTTTCACCTCACATAGCTATGACGTCTCAACCGCTCAACTATGACGTCATGTAGCCTATAACTGTATTACAAAAAGACAGAGGCAAAGGAAAAATCAAAGTTTTTTTTTTTTTTTTTAAATGTAATAAACAGAAAATTCAATGTTTTGTAGTTGAATATGGACTTTATTTCACTCGTGAGACAGGATTTTTGATATTTTCACTCGTGCTTCGCACTCGTGAAAATATCAAAAATCCTGTCCCACTCGTGAAATAAATTCCATATTAAACTACAAAACATTGAATATCCTCTATATATTAATCGCCAATCATGAAGTCCGGCTCATTTTGACAAAACAATATTTTATGATAAACAATGATATTTAAATATTTATTTTCCCTGAGCCTTGCAATCCTTAGAGGGATAATTATAAGTAAGTTGCAGCTGTTTAGTCCAAATCTTACTAGTCACTTTTTGGTGAAATGTATAGAGATAATGAACAATATTCAAGCTCAAAATGCTATTCAAAATGCTAAAATTAAAAAATATATATAATAGAAAATTCTTTGACCAATCGGTGTTTAAGGGAGCCGACTGGGGATTTATTGTGTGAAAACTATAACAGAGATACTCAAACCCATATATATAACATACATAGACTTTAGTTTACATGTTAAGTTTTGGGAAAATCTACCGTCCAGGCATTGTAAGGGGCCATCTTAAGATACAAGTACATTTAATATAAGATTATAAAGGAAGGTTACAATTTTTCGCACTTTAACGCAAATTATGCAAATACTACAATATTTTTTTTTATCAAAATTTATATATGATGAGTAAAACTATATTGTACATTAAATGAAAATTTTATGATGATTTTAATCGAGATTGTTAATATTCTTATTTCATCAACTTGTTTTTCAATACCTTACCTCGTTCTAGAAATTGTTTGTACGTAGAGCAACCTCTTGCATATCGAATAAATTGAGAGCTGTTACCTACACATGCAGTTGGAAAAAGCAAATTGTTCCATAAAATAGGGAAATTGACGATGGAAAAGTAAAAGTCATCATGTTAAGCTCTGTTGTCAGATCACCATTAACGTTTTCTTCTCTATAAGAATCGTCTTAATCATCGTTCATATGTACTATAAAATATTATTCGATTTTTTAATGTAATAAATGGTTTCAAATATTCTTACTTGAAAGATTTGTTATCTTAAAAAAAGGTTATTTTTTTACTATTAATCTATAACAGATAAAAAACATCTATTGCATGTACGTCACCTTGTATCATAGACACTTTCTTAATAATATCAGTTAAAGATGATCTTCCTGTACATACTGGATGTGGTTTTTCTCGGAACTTTTCTACGTCTTTCAGGATAACCTGTTATATTCACCACAGGACATGACTAGTAGGTTCAACACCGGCTTACCGTTATATAAATAAAACTAATTATAAGTTGTACATGTAGTACTTATCGAGTTGCGCCAATTTAAAAAAAATGTACAAATCGAAATTCCTTATTCTTGTGTCGTTGGTGGCATTGCTGAAATCAGCTCCTATCATACCTCCGAGGAAAATCTATCACCTGTGAGTTTATTGTAGTTTAACTTCAAACATTTTTTTTTAATTTTTTCCGAATGCATAGAGTTTTGATATATTAATGCTTCATCAAGGTACACTAGCAATTTATATTATGATACTTTATTGGCATTTTCGTTCTATATCTTTCATATTTTAATTAATTGTTACCTAGATTGATTGATTGTATGGTGTTTAACGTCCCATTCGAGAATTTTTTACTCATACAGAGACGTCACCGTATGCCAGTTAATGGCTTCAAATTAAGACCTATACTCAGCACTCAGGTCCATTGAGCAGTGATGGTTCTTTATCCTGCCAACTCCTACCGTGACACAGGATCTACGTTTTTAAGGTCATATCCGAAAGACCCGTGACTTTCAAATCTAGTGCCGAACGCTTGGCGAAGGAACAGTCACTACCTATGTTTACGTCTTAGGTTTGACGCGGCGCCACAAACAAGAATCGAACCCTGGCCTCCCGATCACGAAGCGAACGCACTACCACTAGGCTACCGTAACCAATGTTATTTCGAAAAATTGTCAATGAAGCTCAGATCAGATGTATATAGTTTCATTCTTTGAACTTTAAAATGTTTAAATATTTAATTTTATATGCATATATATCTGTGTGGCTTTTTGATTATCAGAGACAAGCTGATTCGAGTTCATCCCGAAACAATGGATCAAGTCCTTGCTCTGGAGAGACTTCAAGATAATCTTCCTGCTGAGGACTGATTTTTCATCCTTCAATTTTTTTCATCCCACAACTCAGTACAATTAAAATATAGAGTCATTCTATACATTTCATAGCCATTTCCTGTCGTTAAAAATCTTTTACCATTGCTTGACTATTTTCAAATACAGTATAATGTAGGCTTCTAAAGATAAAATTCTGCATATCGTATCCTTGTCGTTTCCATTAAAATACACTGAAGCATATTGTGAGTTGTTGTTGTTGTTGTTTGGTTGTTTGGAGTTTTTTTTTATTTGTTTTTTTTAGGGGGGGGGGGGGTTGTTGTTCTTGTTGGGTTTTTTTTTATTTATTTATTTATTTTTTTTTTTTTTTTGAAAATGGTCGAATATAATGTTTATAATGATTAAGCAATTGTTCTTCAACTAAAAAAAACATTTTTCTAACTCTCTCTCTTTTTAAAGAAAATGCAAATACTAGTTATTGGGAGAATGAAAACGAAGTGCAATCTATGAAGTAAACTTTGCAACTCTTGTTTTTAAAGATTGACTTTTGGAAGAGGCCAAATATCAATGCTGATGTAGATATTGATGTACCTATCAAAGTGTATGATGACGTCACTCAACAATTGTCACGTGTTGACCTTAAGCCTACTTTATTAGTTCATGATATACAAAGGTAATAGGCATTGTAATATTTTTATTCGTAGTATGAATCATATACATGTATATACCTTTGTATTTAACAACTTTCTCGATTCAGGAAATTTTAAGCAATCTTATGTCTATTCATAATTGTAAAAGAATCGAATTATACGTATTTTTTAAATTGTAAAGTACCTCTAATTTTTAGTGTTATGGACCAAGAGGAAGCTTCCATGGAGATCCCTGATTACGTCATTGATTCAACAGGTGCGATGGCATCTCCAGCACTCAAACTAAGGAATACGGATATTGTCGGAAAATTTGCACGACATGCCGAGGTCAAACACACATCTATTGCTTGGAAATTGTCAATTTCTTTCCTTAAAACTCAGTCATTTATAGATGTTGCATTATTTTACATGTCACTTAGATCAATCTATAATATGTTAATCGCAATTTAAACATATTTTTGTAATAATATGTAGATTGACAGTTGGCTCTTAAGGATGGCATCAAAATACTCTGCAATTGCAAAAATAGAGTCTATCGGCATAACATATGAAGGCAGAGATATGAAAGTTATCAAGGTACAATGCTTATATATAAAGGATATTACATGTAATATAACATAATGATCTTCATAAGAAAGTTATTAATTGATTGATTGATTGACTGATTGATTGATTGAATAGTGTATCTTGTTTTACTCCCCCTTTGAAAGAGTTTTATTTAGAGAGAGAGAGACATCAACCCGAAGGGTTTTAATTGAAATTTGCCATTGTTCCATGGCAAGGAGATAACACAGGATCTTTGACGTTGTGAAAACGTTGTAAAAATACTGAAAACTGTGTAGCTTTCATTTCAATGTGCCGAGAGCTTGGCGAAGGGAGAGTTGCTACCTAATTTTTATCGCCTCAGGTTTGACTTTCCCGCTAAACAAGAGAAGAAAGTAGCTTAAAGAGTACATTCAATGACACCAAACGTTATTTAATGCTTAGTTGCAAAAGGCTAAATTTAAGGAAAATTGTTTCAATCAAACTGAAACTTACTTTGATAAACTTGCGGCACAGTGGTTAGATTGTGTGCTCTAGATACGTGAAGTTAATGAAGAGCTGATTCTTACCTCGTGGGATCAAATCCACTGCAAGACGTTGAGATCGGTCCTTCAGATGGGACTTTATAAACTGAGGTCAAGTGTCACAGTAGGTGTTAGCACGAAAAAGGTCCCTCACTGCTCATTGTCTTGCATTGAGAATGCTAAAATTTTATTTGAAAAAAAAAAACAGGAACATATTATTTACCTTTTGTTTTTGAAACCATTCCTTTTTGAGAGAGAGAAAGTTACATAAACTACCAGTAAGTGTGATGCATCTTACGTAGCGTTTTTTTCTGTAGTTACTGTAATTAACAAAAATAATGATACTTCAAAACCCTTTTTCGAATGTCAAGCATAGAAACCGATAAAAAAAATATTTGAAATATTAATTTCTGCAATTTCAATAGTAAAAGTTAGACTAATGTTCAGAAAAGTATTTTTTTCTAATTGGATCACGTCTAGAGATATATTATTTCCTAAAGTTATTACTTTGATCTATGATCAAGTTGAAGTTATCACGGTTATGCCTAGGTTACATTTACCGTCCGGTGGCCGTAGACCGGTGGAAATCGGTGGTAATCCGCGGTGTTAGCGATGCCACAACATCAGTCCGTATCGGCCTAGTAGGCCATAAGCATCAGTCACATAATCCAGCGATGGGGTTTACGATGGGAAACCGATACGTTTTTTGATAATGCCTAGGTCACATTTCCCGGACGGTGGCCGTAGACCGGTGGTAATCGCTGGTAATCCGTGGTGTGAGCGATACCCCAACATCGGTCCCCATCGGCCTAGTGGTCTTTAAAGTATCAGTAACATTATCCAGCGATGGAGTAAACGATGGGCAACCATTGCGTTTTTTGATAAAAATGGCATTGTTGCCTGTCGGACTTACAAAGGCCCAGCGATGCATTACTTATCATTAAACGATGTTCCAGGGTAATCGGCAAATGAATATTATATCGCTCATACATTGGTGAACATCGTTTGTACGTCGGTCGACTATGAGCCAATGTTTGGTCGAACATTTACCAATGATCGACCAATGTCTGTTGCCCAGCACTCAACTCTCCGATGATCTTACATTCAACGGACACTAAACGATGCTCGGCCATACATCGGCCGTTCCTTGAAAGATGTGTAAATGATGGGTTGCTGATAAGGAGCGATGTGGGACATCGGTGGAGACATCGCTAATTTTTAACTATGAATTATCTTCTACCGATGACCCCACCGATTCGCAAAATGGCCTCAGTCACCGTCCGATTACTAGTGGAGTCCGGTCGGCAACCTCGCCATTTTCATAAAAAAACGCATTGGTTTCTCATCGTATACCCCATCTCTGGATAATATGACTGATACTTAAAATGGCGTAATTTCCAGTCGTACTTACGAAGGCCCAGCGATGCATTGCTAATCATAAAACGATGTTACCTGGTAATTGGCCTTTGTATATTACATGGCTCATATATTGATAAACATCATTCCTGCATCGGTCGACTACGGGCCAATGTTTGGTCGATCATCGAGCGATGATCGGCCGATGTCTGTTGCCCACCATTCACCCCCCCCCCCCCCGATGACCTCAGATTCAACGGACAATAGACGACATTCGGCCATAGATCGGCCAATCCTAGATAGATGTGTTAATGATGGATTGCCGATGAGGAGCGATGTGAGGCATCGTTGGAGACATCGCTTATTTTTAACTACGAATTATTTCCTAACGATGGCCCCATCGATTCGCAAAATGGCCTCAGTCACCGTCCGATTACTAGTGGTGTCAGGTACACCGGCCGGCAACCACGCCATTTTCATCAAAAAACGCATCGGTTTCTCATCGTATATCCCATCGCTGGATAATGTGACTGATCCTTAGATAGTTATCAATAAGTGTGATTGATAAGTTACATTAACCATTATAATGTCATTTTCTAAAAAAAAAAAATCCACACTCGAAGCTTTTGTTTCAGACACTGTGGTAGTTTTTATTTCAAACTAACTGGATATCAAGTTGATATATGAAAGGAAATAAATTTTAATTAATAGAGCTTCGACATAAAACCATCTAAATATCGAGTTTAAGACTTTCTTCTCATGTAATTTTTTTTAAAATCCTGCTTCATATGAATACAAAACTATGTCTGCTAACAAGACAGTTGGTATTCATGGAAATTATACGTTTGATAGTTGATTTAATGTATACTTAGGTTTTCTCTTTGAAATATTTATTATATTGATAAATTGATAAAATGTGTAGCATTTTAAGATGAAAATGATTTATTTAAGGATAACGAAATTCCCTGAATAAAATGTTTTGTTTATTAGTTTATAAAAGATTTTATAAATACCTTCACATTTTGTGCCAACTTTTCTGTAATTTGCACAACATCTAAGTGCAAGTGGTTCTCTAGGAAAAAGAAAAATGTAACTTATAAATTTCGTTAATATGAGCAAAAAGAACATTTTTATAGCAAGGAGTTAATCTTCATTAAATTTCTTTTAAATGGCTTTTAAACAATCAAAACTTATCTTATTTTTATGTTTTTGTAGCAATCGTCACCTTCCGGAAGGAACTTTTTAACTTGGAACTACACAAATACTGTATGTGTACTTTGAAAACTGAGCTTCATATTCTAGCGGTTTTGGTGCAGACAACAATGCGCTAATTCATGAATACACAACACTCAATACCCAGTGATTGCGCTAAATTTTATGAACGCCAATTTATGAACATGTACAACAAAGAACAAAGATCACATTGGTCCATTTTTGGCCCTGTGAATTTCTGAAAAATAAGAACTACTCAGTATAAATTGAAAATATGTTATATTTCACTTAGAGCCTTGGTGACTTCATATCAAATAAAAATGACGTAATTTTTTTCTCTTGTCTATGTATTATGACGTCATGAATTTCGTCATTTTCCTCAAATCTTGAAAATTTTGTTAAAAATGACCAAAAATTTAAGCTGTTTTTTAATATTTTGCATAGCCCCCAACCTCTGATCTAAAATGTTGAGTTATATAAAACTCATTCTTCAATACTGAAGTCAAATGTGTGACAGGAGGGCTAAATTTTAGAAGTTGTTAGATCTGTTATTTTTATATATTGATCAAGTCACTACACTTTCCTCTTGCAGAAAAATATTATTGAAAGATAATCGAAGTTGTAAGAAAAGAGATACAGTTCAGTAAAACTAACATGTCTGGAATTTTTATGTACGTAACTTGGTGTCCACAGTGATTGAAAATAAAGTAAATAACTTATGATATTTTAAATGAAACTTTGGAAGTAAATAAAGGCTAGTATGCCTAGTTTACAGCTTAGTTTATTTTTGCTTTATGCCTCCTTACTATAAAAATGTATTGGAGATTCTCAGTGGACACCGTTACAAACATAAAAATCGAAGAAGTATTATATTGCTGTATTTTCAATAGCATTTGGATTTTGACTTGGTTATAATAAATCTGCTGTTAAATACCCATGCTTTTTAATTCAAAAATGGAATAAACCAAAGTAGTACTAGTTCTCTACTTTAGACTCTTAAAAAGAGGTAATTATGTAAGTAACATAGACACCAAATCCCGTATATCTGAATAAAAAGGTAGTAATATTGTACAAAAATTAATATTGTACAAAAATAACAGACACTGGTATTTAATCCACTAACTTGATTTTATTTCCATATTACAAATTCTTAATTATCAAATTTATATAAGAGTTTTCTCTTGGACTTCTGGATGAAAACCGTGGGTCGTAGAATGTTTTTAACTGAGCGAAAAGGCTCCCAACTTTCATCAGTTCTGGTTGGCCAAAAGTAAAATCCTGATACCTTGTCTTTAACCATAAAGTTAAGATGAAGTTCCTCAGAGACTTCTTTAATCTAAAAAAGAAGTTATTTGCATCATTTCAAAACTGTTAGAAAAAAGTTAAGGGATGCACAGTGTATAAAGAAAAAACATCCAATAAATATGATTTGAAAACTGTACAATATAAAATAAAGTTTTGATCATATGGACCGTTAAATTCAATCGATCAATGTGTGAGAATCTGAAGGCTAAAATGACAAGAAAAACTAATAATGAAATAACTTTATGCTAAAATTGTTAGCTCATAAATAAAATACAAGTGCTGGAAGAAAAGAACCTGGTAAACAAAACACGAGTTAATATCAATGTTAGTTTTATAATGTCGATGAACAATTTAATACCTCTGCTACATAACGCTCTGGTACACCTCTTGTGTCACTGCATAAAGTGACAACCACAAATTGTCCTGCACTGTGATATTCAATAGTGATTTAATTAATTAAATGTGAAAACTTGAGTGAAATCCTAGACTCAGTACCACTTGATGCTTACCTAAATACTGATGCTGAGTGTTCATCCATCATCCTTGAATCTGTCAAATTGATTAAAAGAGATACATAGTTAAATTTTTGTTGTAACATGTCATTTGATCGATACAAGATTTATTTTATATATCGTATAACATAA